CCACTTGCACTGAGTTAATGTATAGTGTGTCCTTCATACAAATAAAGTATTCTTGTAATCTAGGGACTAAACCTCCACTGTGTTGATCGTCCAGAATGCATCCGGCTGAGTATGCTGCAGCGAGTGAGTGAGCTCTTATACTGGCCATATCTTCTTATTTCAAGTAAGACAAATTAAAGTATCCCTTATTCATATATATTATGTATAGTAAGAATGCTTGCTTAATTTGATGATGAGTATGATCTTTTTGAAATAACGAGATAAATTGGAACAAGTAAAATGCATATTTGAAAGTTGATATTTAAGTGTATTACAACGTAGATACAAATTATCTCAGAAGTGTGATTTCTCTACAATACGCGAAATACGTTTCTTTGTATTCAAACGAAATTAATTGCCTAGGGTAAGACTCTTGAAATTAAGTACCAAAGAGGTACTTACTTTCCGCTCGTTGTTCCATATCCCTGAATTTGGTATCACTCGTCAGATTTATGATGAAAGTTTACAGATAGAACGAAAAAAAGAACTCATTTCATACATGGTTTACTCCATGAGAATCCGGATAAGTTGATTAATCCATCACTATTTGTGATCACGCAAGCAAGCATTCGTAATCACTATTAATATAAATTGAATATCTCAGCGATGCTCGTAAATGGACATTTTCTAAAGCGTTCTTCAAAGTGCATAATGGATGGTTGATTTGAATAAGTCACATTCGGCTGGATTTGACTTTGAGTGTTTCCAGTTCGCTGCTTTAAATTCATTTATATTCATCTTAACCGATACAGACTTTTTAACATTTTTGCAACCTAAGTACCTCGTTCTCGTTAAGCTTGATTTGCTCGCCTCGCTGGTTTCGCTTCCCTCCAGATGATCAATTTTCTATCGCAGCAATGGTTTACTTAACTACTAACAAAAGTTGAGGGTTTCAAAGCTGATTGTTATTTGCAGACCTCTCAAGAAGGGAAAACCAGGTTAACCGGGAACATTTACCTCTCCTCTAGAAGGATCAATAATTTACATAACTTGCGTTTGTTTATCAAAAAGACGTATCATAGACCATTTACAAGATAAATGAGCCGTCAAATAGCGAACGCCGTGCTATGATTAGGTTATGAAATTTAAAACAAACTATGCTAGTAGTTTATCATACTTTATATACATAACTAAATGTGTTTCACATATATCTTCTTGTTAACGCGACAACAGGAGTATTAAGTAACCCTCACTGTCTAAGCAAGAAACAGATCGATCACTCACTGTATAGGAAAGTTCTATTTCTGGCATAACATTGTTGTAGCAAATAATGGACTAGTTTCTTTGGATGTATGTAACTTAATTATGAGTGTGGATCATCAATTTCATTGGAAATATTGGAACAAATGTAATAGGAATCGAACCAAAAGACAATTCACTTGTAAGAGGAATTAAGCGACTATTGAAAAGTGAGTCCTATTGAATTAATATATATCTCCCACGAAGAAATTTAAATCAGGAATCATGAATGCGCGCCATTCCTTCGGATGAGAGCTTATGAGTAGAATTGGAAATTAGGTGAACGAGTCATGAACTGACGAGACTGCTTAAGAAAACTTTATCCAAACGCTGTGTTCGGTTTTTGGCCTCGAAATTCAACATTTTTTCTGTGTTAACTGTGATAACATATATTGCAATTTAATGAATCAAGGATTACCACTTCCGAGTCTGAAAGAATTTTGTCTGCATCGGTTTAACCCTGCATTCGCTCCTGATCGATGAAGTTAACTTAACCCTTTTGAAGAGTCTTTACTCACCATTTCACACCCGACAAGTCAGCAGCATTACCATCATCCGCAACAAAAGAGGAGAATCTTGAGGCCAACCAACTCAAAGTTGATAGAAACAAACTAATTTTGCTGTATCCCATCAATCCCTCGGGCTTCTAACTATTTGACACAGGCAAGCAATACGTGCAAAATGTGCTTTAACTTTCAGTTGGAACTGCGAAATGAAAACCTCTATGATAGGTTTTCCTATCATACCATTGTGAGTATGAGACGAAACAGTTTCAGGAGAAAATCAAGAAACGCAAAGAAAATCAGAAGGAATTACATGTTTGGTATGAAACCTCTGACGACCATATTTGGTCTGGCTTCAAAATTTAAACATGTCCGGCCATTCTGCGCCATGTATTTCCATCAAAGTTTTCCTTTTTTGCGCCATATAAGGCAACAGTACTATGAACTGTGCTTCCTTAAATTTTTTGGAAGGCTTTCATCTTGCAAAATAAAACATGATTTAGAATTGTTTGCAGACAAAAATAACTGCTGCTCAAAATGACTAAAATCTTAGCTATTTTCTAGGGGGGGACACATTTATAAGGAGGGGAGGGGAGGGAAACAATATTTCAGCATTTCCTCTTTGTTGAGTTACAACGCATTTATCAGAGACCTTTCCCTGTATTCTAATGTGATTAATAGAATTTGACTTCCTTTACAGGGGAAGCCCCTTGGTGAAATATGTCGCACCTCGTTCGAAACAGGTTACACTTGTAAATAGAAAATAAATTCTCCTTCTGCTAAACCTGCTACCATTGTTGGAAATATATCCTCAAGGGGAGTTTCATAATCGGTCTGTTTCCTTCGTTCTGATGAAGGGTTTAGGCTCGAAACGTGAGCTTTAAAACTCTTAACTGTGGCCAATTTACGATATCGACTCAGTTGATACTACCAAATTACCTTGTTTCCACACAGCTTCATTTACATACGAGTTGAATACGAAACAAGTTTTACAGAAGGATGTGTCGTCATTTTTGTTTTCCTCAATGAGTATCGGTTTTTCGCAAAGGGTGTAGTTACATACGGTGGCTTCTTTCCTTTACAGTAACGAAGAAATGTCAGAGTATGACAACCTCCTGCCGAAACCTCGGATAACGTAATGAATAAATGACAGGATTGGCTGTGGATCCAGCTAATCCTAGGAGGAAAAAAATCATTTCGAACTTCCATGCTTCATTGATGCTGACAAACTGTAGGACAATAAGCCTGGTGAACGTTGGGGTCCATGTAATGAGAAATATCAAGGTAACCAGTATAAAAAGTTTTGTCAATTTGCCTCTCGACTGTAAAAGAGCGACGTTTGTTGCTTTATTAGCTTCGGCGTTGAACCACATGTGATAAATTATCCGAGTATAACAATATATCATTGTAACACTTGGTAAAATGAGATCGAAAGTGAAGATTACAAATGAATACGTCGTGTAAAAAATCTCAATCCAGCGAGGTATTTCAACCGTTGTATTTCTCGAAGCGTTTCTCCAGATGAACTTTTGCCTTAGGGTAGCAATAAGAAATCCCGGTGCACTTAGTACGCCGGCGAGCAACCATATTGCAAGTATCAGTTCCCACATTATAGACTTGACGGCTTTTGTCAAGTGCACGGAAGATTTCAGAATGGCGAAATATCTCTCCATTGCTACTACATTGAAGCTGTCGCATGGAGAATGAACTCGGGGAAAGAATAAATGGACGTATACTTGTACGAGAATAGAAAAATATCTATAAAAGTTACAATGGCGAAACCCAAATCTGAAGAGGCCAGATTTACAAGGAGGCAAGTGTTGGCGTTGTGAAGTTTCTTATTGTTCCTGATAACCATAATTACGAGAACATTTCCACAAACATTACAAAGAAGGATTAAAATGGAAGCAGCGAGTGAGGCTGTAACGAAATATTCCGCCATTTTGTGAAAAAGGCATCAACAACTTTTGGAATGATACGAACTGCTAACTGTAGTGGTTTAAATAGCCTGAAAAATGTCACGCGTCCAAGACAAAATATTAGAGCGTATTTGGATCGAATGTAAATAAATAAAAACCGAAAAAAAAGCGGGAAAAAAACGCGAGTGACCAGGATGCGACTGACTTTGGTTCTGCACCTGATTGGTCAAGAGGATGGCGTTAGTTTTCCTTGACCAATAAGGGAGCAAAGAAAGAAAAAACAAATGCAAAGTCCCGGATTACTTTTGACACCCAGTTGAAATAGCTCTACCCCTACAAATCCCATTATTTTTTAGCTCTTTGAAGAGTTTTGATATAGTCATGAGTTTATTAATAGTTTAAATATCCGCTCGAGGCTGAACAAACTTATACAAGCAAACAAAACAAGAATTTCATTAGTAAAAATAAACGGGCACACTACCTTGTCAAGAATGTTTCATCTTGATAAAATATTTTAATAATCTCTGAAGCCTGGATCATAAATAAGCCCGCTTGCTATTTATTTGTTTTAAAAAACTACCGCAGTTATTCGGTTATAAGGCGCACTCGGCTATAGGACGCACCCCCAATTCGGCAACTTCATTATTGCATGTTTTCAAACTGAAAATATCGCTAAAATACTTGGTTATAAGGCGCACCGTTGTTTGGGGAGTAAAGATTGGTCAAGTTTATTGTAAATTCTTTCATAAACTTACAAAAAAGCGAAAAAGTCGCGTATTGATTTTAGTTTACCGTTAATTAACAAAAGCAGAATTGTCGCACACGCGACCACGCGCACAAACAAAAAAATTACTGAGCACGTGCTCTCAAGCACGTATCATATCTATGCAAATTTGACTTCGCTCGTCTTTTCAGAACCACCATATTTATAAAAGTCAATGATCAACACTGTGTCCTTTTATTTGCTTGAAATCGTACCAGTAACTGTGATAAAAAAAAATTGTTTCGGGAAAATATTCGCCTATAAGACGCACCCAAACTTTGGGGGTAATTTTTAGTAGAAATTAGGAATTTCTTGAAATTTCTTCCAAATCATCGTGAAATATGTTATAGAAAACCTTTCCTGTCTGGGATTTTTTTTAAACAAAAGGAGATGATTAAATTTGAAAAAAGTTCATTACAGCCAAGTGATATTTTCCAATTTAATTAATTTTTCGAAAAGGTCGTGATTAACCGAAATATTGCCACTGTTTAGAAAACAATGAACTCTTTAATTCAAATGGTAACTAGATGGAAGAAAAAAAAAACAGAAGAAGTGAGGCGGTAGCTTTTCAGGACAGAGTTAAACTAAAGTTGGAGACCATATGACATTCCTTTTGTACTTATAGTCTTGCATCATGTCTAGTTTGCTTTATAATTCGCTTCTGATTATCTATCTATATTAATTGAAAATAAAAAGTTTTTCCCCCAGAACTGATAAAAATAATGTTTTTTCTAACTTTCGTCACCTGAGTCAACAAAAAAAAATCTTGGAGAGAGCTATTAAAATAACGGGGTTTTTTAATTAATTGCTTTTTTTTTGTCATACTTTGTTGTTTAAAGGAAGGGTTTCATGTGAGCATGAAATACAATTTTTTGCCATTCAAAACTCAAAGAAAAATAAATGAAAAGGGAAAGTAGGAAGATCTGGGTATTTCACATCAGTCTTGCCTTAATTCATTTACCTCTCAAGTATATGTCCTCCTATAACTTGTTAACAGCACCTCCCTCATTTTGTTTTCACTATGTCCCAGTTACCTCTCGTTTGACTTAATCATGCCTTGGGGCTGTTCTTAGTTCTACCTTAGAAAAGCCCGACTCAGATTTAATTTCAAGCTGCAACTAAGCTAACTTGTGGCAGAAAAACAAAAGATTTGAAAGAATTCATAGTTGTGGAATTGGGTCGATGAAGCTGATTTTGTTTCTTGATAATTTAATGTAATTATTAAAATATTTATGCCTCATTCGAGTTAGGTTTGCAAAGTAACACTCAAAGAACTTTTATTAATTCTCATCTTATTGAAGATCTTTATTCACAGCAGAACCAGGACTTTTGTTAAAGCACCCCATTCACTTACTGTAACACGAAATATGTTATACACCATCAGATTATAGTTATCGATTATAAATCCTTGACTGTGTTTCCAACACTATTCTTCTAAATCAAGGCTGCGCACCTACCCCTCCCCTAAACTAACCCCAACCCTAACTTGTTATTAGTTGACTGTTGTTGGGTTAGGGCAGGGGTAGGTGCGCAATTGCTCCGACTCTGACATTGCTACGTTCTCACGCTTATTTACTCATAACATGATCCTTACTTTCAAAGAATCTTCGTGGTCCAAAACATCACAATTAGTAACTGTAGTATGCATGTCCACTCTAGTACTAATTGAACATATAAAATAAATGGCACAAAATTGACTTGCGGTGTACATCTCTGAAGCTTGTACCAGAACGAGCTATATCTTTTGTTGTCAGTAGTCTCGTAGTACGGAAACAGTTGCCTTTAATATTCTGAATGTATATTTGTAATTATCAGTGATTAATAATGGGAAGAAGTTTGAATTGTGTGAATGATCTTGATGCGGTGAAACTTCAGTTTTCCCTTTGGTTCTCAAAAACCCAGTAGGCGGTGTTTAAATGCCATACTCTCGGTAACAAGCTAACAAATGAGCAAAAAGAACGTCTCCCTTCTCGTATTTCAGGCAATTATTCTTCCATATTTGGTTTATAATTCTGGAATACACAATTTCACTGCAGACTGCTACTTTTCCACTCCACCAGTAAAGCGTATTTTCAAGCAAAAGCACTCTTAGTAAAACAACACTAATTAAATGTGCTATTACAACGTGTAATTTGCCATTGGCGGCTGATACTTTCCTCGTATCTCATCTATCTAAAGCCAAGCTTTATAGCTCTCTTATTCTCATAGCAGCGGATGTGTTTTTAAGCGAATGGTAACAGTGATCTCTGAGACGTTTACATGAATATCAGAAGCCGATGTGATGGTCATTTGAAATGAAAACGATACAGAGGAACTTAAAGGGCTTGATCATAAAGTAAGCCAAAGTGCCCCTCTGTGTCAATGAGCAACTTCATGTAGCCATGAATGTAAAATTTCTACCCTGAATCAGCGTAGGTTTCATTCAGATTTGTTGTATTGTGTTGTGTCTCAGTCATACAGCGGTCACTGGTCACAAACACTCTGTTACCACTTCGTCCCTTTGGACGGCGTCTTCTCATTTTACAGCAACAACATGATAACGTTTTAACAGCTTCCTGGCGAAATCTTGGACAACGAAACGAATAAATGGCAGGATTTGCCGCTGAACCAATCAGGGCAAGCAGCATGGAAACAAGCTGATAGGACTTCTTTGTCGTTTCATGGTTCACAAACTCCTTGACGATTAGCCTGCCATATGTTGGAGTCCAAGTAATAATGAATATCATGGTTACGATGATAAAAAGTTTGGTCAGTTTACGGCGCGATTTGAAGAGAGCAGCGTTCGTTGCTTTGTCTTCAGCGCTGAACCACACATGATAAATCACATGTGAATAACACAGGATCATAACAGTACTTGGTATTACGAGACCGAGTACAAAAACAACAAATACGAAGGTAATATTAATGGTTTCGAGGACAGGAGGAAGATCTCTTGAGGTGTCCATCGAACCATTAACAAACCCAGAATACTTGTACCTATTTTCAAATGATTCGATAACAAATCCTGTCGCAGTTAAGACACCAACCAAGACCCACAGCGCGGTACAAACTTTCCGCGTTAAACACACATCCACCTTTTTCATGTGCACGAAAGGTTTCAGAATTGCATAGTACCTCTCAATCGCTAGGACAACAAGAATATAACTTGAAAATAAAGCGTTAAAAAGGAATTGGAAAGAGGAGTAAGGAACTTCAAGAGAGACGAGAATCGTCTCCGCGAAAGTGGTCAGAGCAAAAAACAAATCAGACCATGCAAGGTGGAATATAAGATGGGTATTTGCGTTCAAAATTTTCTTGCACTTGCGGATGACTATTATAACAAGAAAATTTCCAAAAACGGTGAAAAGAAGAAGAGGAATTGAAAGAACAGTAACGAAAAGATTCGGACCGGCCATATGCTGAAAAACAACGAAAACTTTGACGAAAAATAAAGAAAACTGGAGAGTTTAGTGAAAATAAAGTAGCTTACTCTGTGCGTCACCCGAGAGAACAACACGAACCTTCGGGGGTAAAGCTGTGTTTGAAATTCAATCTCATATGGTGTTGGTATATATAACTTATACAATAAAGTTTGGTTTATTTATCTATCGAGCAATAATTTACATAGGAAAAGGTTGTAAGTACGTACTGTGAGCACGCCTTTAACAAATTCAAGCTTTCATTTAGATTTCTGTAACCCACCACGAAACAGTAAGTTTCCACATGAAAAACAAATCGAGAAAGCATTAATGAAAGCATCGAGATCACAAAAAATTCTAACTTTTTTTTTTTTTTTTTAAACCAAAAGATCCATTCCATTTTATCATAGATTCTACTAGTTAATTATGGACAGTATTGCTGTCCATAATTATTCTGTCAGATTACCACAACAATGTTCCACCTCTAATTTCATCTTGACACGCAAAAACTTAAATAATTCAGTTCTCTCCAAACAAAATTAAGTGGTCTTCTAAATGATTATTATAATCTGAGGCAGCTGGATAATTACATATAGCTGCAAGAAGCACAAAAATATTACAAAATTAATGAGTATTTGTTTTTCCTTTTTTCTATTCATAATTAGACAAGCTCAACGCAGGTTGAATTAAATAACAGTAGCCTTACTCCAAACATGCAAACGTCAAAATAAATGTTAGCGGTTATCAATAACATCCTTAACCCTTTAACTCCCAGATCAAATTTGTAATTCTCGTCGCTCTAAACCATACCATTCTTATAACGTTAGTTCAGAGAATTTAATATTGGATCAACTTATTATCCCAAATTGATGTTTTTCTTTACTCTCATCACTCATGTGTTTGATATTGTATTGATATTGTAAGGAGAAATTCTGCCTTGGTCACTCACAGGAGGGGAAGAGATGTATTACGTTTTAAAATCAAAACACTCTTCATTTCTCTGAAATTTTGCTTTGTTCGGGTTGATGAATTTTTAGATAAAAAAAATAGAGGCCTAAATCTTTTTCTTTTCTACAATTTCTAAAATTACAACTTATCTACAAGGATCATGGCCTCATTTAATCTTAAATCTGCAGGTCAAACTGAATGAAATTAACGTCATTGCAAATTATATAAGATAACCGTGTAGCTATCGACTTTGAACCCCTTCAGGATAAATTTAAACAATAATACTTTGAAAAAATATTTGGCTGGAAACTGCAGGACCATAACACAATTATAAAGAAATTACATATCGTTTAGTACTGGAACCAAAGGGCTCATTTTGACGATAAATAAATTAAATGACATTTTCTCATGATGAAAGCCGAAGTTCCTTTCACTAGAGGATTTGGATCTTGTATGATACTTCAAGGCTCCCTGAAACTCAGTCAAATCCTATGGAGCTTTACACATGTCAGTGGGGATCTACAACGTCCACAACCTTAGGTCCAAGTTTTTCCATCTCAATGTCAGATGGCCATGAGTACTCTTCCGAGCAACTGGTCGGTACGCTCATCTTCAAAATCCTCCGGTTGCAGGTCACCGGTATGCATTATATACCTAGGTTCCTGAACTTAGACGCGACAACGGCAAGCTCGGCTCAAAGCTTTTTCAACTCAATGTGAACAGCTCGTTTCCGATACTCCGTGGCCTTTCTCAAGTCACCCAGCTGATGATGTAATACACTTAAGGTATGGTATGAACGTGCGACATCATCGTGGTTGGGTCCAAGCTTTTTCAATCGAATCTGCAGGGCAATTTCAAAGCATTCTTGGGCCTGTTGTAGATCATCTAACTGCTGATATACTACACCCATGTTATGGCAGCTGAGTGCGACATGGATATCCTCGATTCCAAACATTCTCTGCCGAATGTCTAGAGCACGTGCATAATCTGTTATGGCCTGTGGCAGGTTACCCAAGCTAAGGTTTACATTACCCAGGCTATGGTAAGTACGCGCGACAGCGACCTGCAGAAATGCATGCTTTCTCAGGAGTCGAAGCGTTCTGAGCCTAATAGTTAGAGAACGTTCGTAATGTTCCTTGGCGAACTGTAGGTCACCAACGTTAAGGTATGCATTACCTTGGTTCTCGTGCATAGACGCAATGTTTAGAGCTCGTTTGTAATACTCCTTGGCCTTTCTCAAGTCACCCAGCTGCTGATGTGCAACACCTAAAGTATGGTATGAAAGAGCGACATCGCTGTGGTTGGGTCCAAGCTTTTTCAATCGAATCTGCAGGGCAATTTCAAAGCATTCTTGGGCCTGTTGCAGATCACCTAACTGCTGATATACTTCACCCATGTTATGGCAGCTGAGCGCGACATGGATATCCTCGATTCCAAACATTCTCTGCCGAATGTCTAGAGCACGTGCATAATCTGTTATGGCCTGTCGCAGGTTACCCAAGTTAAGGTTTACATAACCCAGGCTATGGTAAGTACGCGCGACATCAACATGCGTAGGTCCAAGCTTTTTTAATTGAATGTCTAGAGCACGTTCGTAATGGTCTTTGGCCTGTTGCAGATCACGCAAGTCGATGTGGTGAGCGATGGCAACATCTACATATCCGGGTCCAAGTATTTTCAACTGACTGTCTAAAGGACGTTCATAAGGCTCCTGAACCTGTTGAAAATCCCCCAAGAACTTTGGCTTTGTGGGACTCAAGCTACTGTGAGCATCCGCGACATCAACGTGCTCTTTGCCGTATGGCAGGGTCGTCCCTCTCGGTTTTGCATCATTGACTATTTATAAATGATTCAAGCCAATATTAACTTAAATTTAACTTTATTTTGGTGGAGTCACTAGAATTTCTTTTGAAACCTGGTGGGAAGGATGAAGTTTCAGTTCAGCTGGGTTTAAAATGAAGTATCGGCATAATTCACTATGGAATTCACCTATAGTTGAAAGCTAAACCGTAGAAAGAACATTACAATCTCTCACACTGTTTCCTTTTGAACAGCACACTATTGTATCTTATTTGAAATGTTATCAGCTTGTCCGGTTGTCTCGATATTAGGGCATCTTTGCGTTTGAAATGCGTTTTTCATCATATACTAATAACTCGATTTGTGCCAAAAATAGCCAGAAACGCAATATTCGATCATGGGAGAGTAAGCGTGCTCATGCTTGTTACGTTTGTGGAATAAGCTGACGTTTTATGCTACGCGCGAGACAAATGTATATAAATTTTGTCGAATGCTTCTTCTGGAAATCGACTTGAAACAGCTTTCTACACTAACCTGAGCATTTCATGAAATACTCTTGAGCGGCTCTATATTCCTCTTCTCGAATCGTTGTCGATAACTGCACCTCAACGAGACCAAACTTGTTTAGAATTTCCTCTGTGACAAGATGTTTTTGTGCCATCTCATTGAGATGGCCCGTGCAATGGTCATCCCACAGTTCGTCTAATACCTGCAGAGAGCTACATTCCACTGTTATAATAATGCTTCCTATTTGAGTGTCAACAAGCAGCAATTTGCGCACGTCCCTGAGATATTGCAGAAACTCATTTCGCTCATGCGGGCTGGATGCATCAACTTCCTTGAAATACTTGAGTGCGATGAAATTCAGAACCTCCTCAGAACTAGGTAAACAATCACTTCCAATCCTCATTGCCTCAGAGCCTCTTGTACTTCCATTTTCTTGTTGAAGCGATGATGCAGTAGGAGGCATTTCATTATGCTTAACTCCTACAACTGTTTTCCTCTCGATATCAGAACCCTCAGATGTTAGCACCATCAAACCTGAGGCTCCAGGTACTGGAGATTCTTTGATGGTCTTACAGTCAATCCGCATTTGAAGCTGAACTATTTGGATAAAAAGTTTCATCAACCAATGTTACTTCAGGTACCACGATAGGGATGTGGCAACTCAAGCCTCTGCCCTCTTACTTTTAAATGGTACCGTTGATCTCAGACGTGTTTTCCGATACTTAAACTTTACAACGCGTTAAGAGCTGATAATTTCAATCAGTGATTTCCAAACTCTGATTACGCAATGCATAAAGTTCGTGCCTGCGAGTTGGAACATGTGAACTGACAGTGACTGAAATATGAATCTGCGCTCTTACACATTTTAGTTTCTAAATTTCAATAAGCTTCAAGTCAGGTTTGGTTGAATAGAGGAGACTTGGGACCAAATGATTCCTGTGCGACATGGAATTGTACCGAAACGTTTTATCACAGTTTTCACACTGACATCTTACACGAACAATTGGTGGGTAATTGCACATAGACTTTTGCCGCCGGTTCAACTTTTTCGGACCGGGAACAGGAAATTTTGTACCACTTCATTAGTATTTAAATCCGCAAAACGATATTGTCGAGCCGTTAGTTGGTAACGTTCGGGCCCTTTCAGAAAATGTGTGGATTAAATGGTCAAAGAAGCTAATTTGAGGTTGTTAGGAGAAGATAAATTTCATATCTACAAGCAACCATGTATTATTTTTTTATCATATAAACAGAATAGCCCTTTACTGACAAATAATTTATCGATCCAGTACCGAGCTGGTCTGTAAAATGTTGCAAGAGTTGTCTTGTGAACAAATCACACCGATGAGTGCTAGTCAGATTGCAAGGATCACCAATGATTTCAAAATGGGTGTAATATATCTTTTGATGTTACAG